TAACACACACTTCCGATGTAGGCTGGGTAACAGTCACAGCACTGCACTGGCAACATTAATCCTAGGCAACCAACAGGGCTGAAAACAGTCCTGTTCTCCCAGTGCCCCATCATGACACACACAACTACCCTGCCAGCCAGGGCACCATCCTGCATTCCAAGGCTCGCCATGCTCACCACATTCTCCACAGCTCATCAAAGAGGCACAGCAGGGAGTGAATCCCCTAACTGTCCTCCTTACCTCCTCACATGATAAAAAATTTTCAGGTCCACTATTAGGATTTCAAGTATTCCCAGGTGTATGGGTCACTTACTAGAGGCTATAGGACTGCCTAAAGAGGTGAGGCTGGGTTGTGACTACATGAAGGAAGGAGATTGCAATCATATGGGAGGAAGGACAGCTCAGTGGTTTGAGCATTGGCCTGCTAAACCCAGAGTTGTGAGTTCAATCCTTGAGAGGGCCATTTAGGGATCTGGGGCAAAAACTGGGGATTGGTCCTCCTCTGAGCAGGGGGTTGGACTAGATGATCTCCTGAAGTCCCTTCCAACCCTGATATTCTATGATATGTGGGAATGGAATGGGTGCTGCACCATGTGAATTTATGCCAGGCCCTGCAAATCCTAGCAGTGGGCATGCATTCTTAATCTGGCTCTCACAGGTGTGTCTTCTCCCCATGTTCTTGGTCCATTCTTCCCAGAGGGCTGGAGCAAATATCTCTTCTCTTGGCATTTGTGTGCTCTCTTTGCTTTATGATACGTTATGTTGGGATGTTTGTTTCTTTTTCAGTGTTTGCTGTTATTGTTTCTAATTTTGTACATGGATTGTGCCCTGTCTGGAAATGTCTATGCAAAGTGACTCACCAATTATTTTATTTTATGCAAAAAAGGATCAGCCTGACCCTGTGGTTAATATTCTAGATAGCCACACTGCAGTTCTATACTTGATCCTTGATCCCAGTCTCTTGTCCCCGAAGTGGCGTAGTCTGGGATCATACCTATGAGCAGGGAGTGCCTTGTGTCATCCACACTGTTGGGTTCAATTCAATTACCACTGGAGAAACCAGGGTCTTGCCTCTCACTCCTAAGCCAACTGTGACTGGAGCTTGCTTGGGCTCACAAAGAAGGCAGTACCTTTTGCCATTCACACTCTCAATGAATATGTGGCCACTGTCACCTACAAATCAAAGGTCCTTCCCCTGATTATACTGGGCACTGCTCTGAGACAGCAGCACTTTAGTAGAAGTGAATGCAGTAAGAGAATGCATCATCCTCAAGAGAATGCTTGTTTTTTCAGTGTATTGTTCAGTTTCAATTCAGTAAAACTTTATTGGCAGGGTAAGTTATAGAAGGGTTGCCAAAGTGTAAAAACGAAGCAGATCTCTCAGGTATCTGTCAGATATAAGTATGATCCACCCAGGATAGGACTGTGTTTGGGGGTGCAACAGTTTGTCAGAGGTGTCCATTCCTGATCTGGTGGCAGATTGCTGCATAGCACAATGCCATTTCTGCTGGCTTTTTCCTTTATATGCATTGTATATAGCAGCCTTAGCTTAGACTCTCATTGTTCTAGGGCTCAATCCATATAACATGTACATGTAATGTACATTTTCCATAATGGCAACAAGTTCCCCAGCTCCCCAGAGGAGGGTATGAGCACTGCTTAGTCAGCTGAAAAGTTTTCAACATCACAAATTCAGTATTTTAACTATAAAAGGACCCTTTATGTAATAATTTCTGTAATCACCAAAACATTAGAAACAGGTGATTGTTTTAATAGTGGATTAAAGAAAAGTTCTACCTTCACAAGGTTCCTCTTGTAATTTTTATATCACAGATAGGATCCATGTAGATCATCTGGTAAGAGGTGCTATAAAAATACCAAAGATAGATAGATAGATAGATAGATAGATAGATAGATAGATAGATGATGAACATGTATGGGGATGGATAGATTGATCATTAGAAAAGATTAGATAGAATAGTCTTTGGTAGTGCTGTGGTTTGGCCTGGCCTGTATGTAACACAGCAAATCTGTAAGACCCCGGGGCTCTATGCTGATTTTGGTTATGCCTATGAAATGTCATTGCCTTCAACAGATTTACTTCTCATTTACACTGTAATGAGATAAGAAACAAGCCCCTGGTATTTGCAGGGCTTTGCCACAGTTCAGTGGCATCATTATAATATGAGCTGGTTATGTTCACATAGGTAAGGCCAAATCGTGATGGCACTACCATGTTAATAACTCTGTCCCCCCGTAGGGTAAATGCTTCTATGTAGATGGGCAAATGTGCAAATGTTTTGGAGCAGTAACAGAGAAACCTGATAGGAAAAACAGTTGTGGTCTTGGAAACGATCCATATTCCAAGCTCTCAGAAAGGGACTAGATTTATGGACCAAGGACTAAAATGCTCGTACAGTGTTTGCTGCCCATTATGTCTGGAACAGATGCTCATTTAATATATGCAAAGCTCTCCTACTCTCTTCCTTCAAAAGACTCTTCAAAACCCATCTGCTCTGTGATGCATCCTACTGATAATGGCCACCCACCATGCTGTTTCCGCATTGTAGCATTCTTTGTTGTCCTGTGCAGCTCCAGCACGTGTTCCTACACTACAAGCCTTTCTGGGCAGGAAACCTCCTATGTATTTGACACAGTTCTCCTTTTGTACAGGGCTGTGTATGTGTACAGAACTAATAACACACATAGGGAAGAAAGGATGGGTCATTAGGGAACATAGGTCATTAGGGAGAAGAAAAACCTTTCTGAACCACTGCTTACCACTTAGGTTAATTAAGTTTTTCCATACAATTTATGGTGATGCAGGGTTTCGGAGCAGCATTGTGTGTGCCATTTGGAAGCCACTTTCACCCCAGCGGTAGATTCATTTGGGCAAAGTGTGACGTGATTTCTGTTTATGAAGGACTCCAGGGTGAAAGGTGCTGTGTAAAAGCCCAGCTCTGAACTATATTCAATAAAGTTAAGGTTGCACATTTAAAAATCACAGAAGTTTAGGCATTGATCCTGCAAATTACTCCATATGGACAGACCCCCGGTATGCACACCTTGTACACCCCTCTATGCAGAGCCCCACTGAAGATAATGGAGATCCACACAGGCACTGGCTTCCACATGTACAGAATAACTTGCTGGATCAGGACCTAAGGTTCCAACTGAGCTATGTAACACCTAGATGGTATTTTTACTTCCTGTTTTTCTTGTTATATTTATAACTTAGAATTAACAGTTAGGCAGTCAAGTCCAATTTTCCCTGCTTTTGCTGGGAAAGGAGGTGACTGGGATCTCAAAGATGTTGTGAGCTGTTTGGGGCAGGGACTATCTTTTTATTCTGCGCCTAGCACAATCGGGTTGTGGTCTGTCACAGGGCCCCAGATGCTACCACAATGCAAATATTCATGATAATACATGTGTACTGTGACGTCCCATGCCAGAAATGAAAGGGCAGGAGCATTTTATCTACCTGTTCACCTAGGTACATTTCCATTGGTACCTCCCATGTATTTAAATATAGACATGACAATAACAATATTTCCCTCTTTCTTCCTTCCCTCCTGTCTGGTAGGACAAATAGCTTGATAAGGTTGTAAAGGATTTTTTTAAATGTATGTTTCTTTGTGTACATCAATGGGTGGGTATGTGTATATGTACTGAAAGAAAACTAAAATATAAGGTCCACTCTCAGAGGCCTTAGCTCTGAAAGTGAGGTCATTTTTAGTCTTCTGTGGGAGTAAGTTCCACAGTCTAGGGCCAGCTGCTGTGAAATTTCTGTCTCTTGCACTTCTGCATGAGCCTCTTCACTGTCAACTACTCATATGGCAGTCTCTGGCACTGTCATAAATTCACTAGATTTCTAGCTGCCATTGACTCATCCACCTAAATTTCCAATGTAAAACCAAGCAACACCCCTTCTCCAAAACCTTCTGTTCCACCCCTTTTTTTTTTAAGGCAGATATTTTTCAGGACTTCTTTCTACCTCACAAAGAAGCAAAAAAGGACATAAGCCAGTTTTTTTCCCCTTTGTAATTCACCTTTAATGATGAGTCCTTAACCATGCCCTGTTCATTCCCTCTGAAGCATCTGGCACCGGCCACTGTTGGAGGACAGGATACTGGGCTCGATGAATCATTGGTCTGACCCAGTAAGGCTATTCCCATGTTCTTTGTCAAACTCAGTGATGTTTAAATTCAGATGTTTGCATTTAAGGTGACAGTCTCTCTCTCTCACACACACACACACCATCCCAAACAACAGGGCTTTCTGCTGGGAATTAAGGGAGTGCTGTAGACAGGCCCCAGACCCTGTGGGCTTCCCTTCTGCATTCCTGCAGCCATGAAATGTGCTGTCATGGAATCCCAGGCCCTGGGAGTCTTTTCTAGCCTGATCACCACAACTCCTGGCGTTCTAGCCACCCACCACTGTGCCAGGGAGCCTAGAGTATTACTTGCACACAATATTGACTAGCTTCCCCCCACTTGCTTCTGGGAAAGGGTCCAGTTTTATTATTAGCTGCTAGTCCTACCTTCCTTCAGACTCTCTACTCTCCTCCCCAGCCTTTCCTTCCCCTCTGCTTATAGTATTAGCAGCTGGGGGGGGGGGACAGGGGGAGTCTTTTCCACCCAGCTAACCCTTTAGCTGTCTCTCTACTCAGTTCATTGGCACCCTCCGCTAACTCCATGCCTTTCACTCCGCTCCCCATTAATGTGCCCGGGGAGAGCTGACGAGCGGGGTATGCTGAGCCAGCTGCTGACTCAGCACCCTCGCTCCTGCCTGTGCATAACTAACCCACCCGGGCTTCGCTGGCCCCACGCCTAACGGCCCCTCCGCCCCAGTCCGGGCTGAGCCCTCCCCCTTCTGCAGCGCGTACCCTGGGGGGGGGGGTGAAGAGGTGCAGAGAAGCGACGGCCAGGCCTGGCTCTACTGAGGACGATCTGCGGGGGAGGGAACAGGGAGGGGACCTAGCTTCTCCCTCCCCGCCAGGGTCCGGGGAGGAGGCTGCTCCAAACGGGGCTGCCGGCCTGCTCGCTAGGCGGGGGCGCTGTCTCTTTAAGGAGGAGGGTGCCTGGATTGGAGCGGGGGTGGCTCTTTTAGTCTCTGCGGGCCTGGGCTGCTTCCCGTGCCGGGCTCGCGGGCCAAGGGGCCCTGTTGCAGCAATGCCCTGGCTGGCGCACCTGGGCCCTCCGGCGGCTCACCGCTCGCTGGGCTCTGGGGCGCTGCTCCAAGCCACCGCACGCATCGTCTGGAGCAAGGTGGGCAGCGGCTGCAGCAGCCCCAGAGCAGCAGCGGGGGCCCCGCCGTTCCTAGGCGGCCAGGTGCAGGCTGTCCCCGGCGGAGGAGAAGCTAGAGCGGCTCCGCCCAGGAGGGAGCCTCGACCCAGCCTCCGACGGGAGTGCAGCTGGCTCGTCCTGGGGGACCTGCGCCTGCAAAGCCCCCTCCGCTTCCTGCCCCCAGCTGATCCCAGCCGCCGGGCCGGCTGCAGAGCTGCTCAGGCGGGTTATCTGCCCCCCCGCCGGGGCTTCGGATACAGACAGCAGGTGCAAGAGGACGCGGAGTTCAGCCATCTGCAGCCCCAGATAACTCTGCAAGCAACTGCCAGCAACTTCCCCAGCAGCAGCCGCGGCAGCTCCGGGAAGGTGGGTGAGGGTGACTCAGGCTGAGTCAGCAGCAACTTGCAAAGTGGGTTTAGTTTCGCTTCTCTGTAGTGTCAGTGTATCAGTGGCACATACCGATATCCCCCCAGGCTTCCTCCCATTCCATACAATCCACGGGTGCTTTATGAAGCTGCATCTTGCGTGGGGTCTGGAGTGGGAGGGCACTGTCCCACTGAGAGGCAAGGGAGCTGTGCCTGGCCTAACTATAAGGACCTAATCTGTGCACCAGAATTTCTCAGGTTCTACAGTGTTTCTGTCCAAAGTGGGTTAATTTTCTACATCACCCTCAAGATCTATCGAGGGAATAGAGATGCCAAGGAGTCACTACTGGGGAGATGGCCTCACCGCAGGGTACTGAGGGAGGGAAATATTCTTCTTCCATCCCATAGGAAGCTGTTTGTTTGTTCTTTGAAATCTTTCTAGTTATATTGTTGTAATAGCTAGTGCTGACTTACACATACTGGACACAGTTTTAACAGGCAGTAAAACAACTTCTTTTAAAAAAAAAAAAAAATGATGTCTTGTCCGCACACACTGGCCAAAAGCATTGCTTGTTTTCAAGCTGCTTCAGTTTTTGTAGGATAGGTTTTAAGAACAGAAAGTGTTAAAATAGAGGAAATGGTTCTAGTACTTGTAATGTGTGTGTACATCATAAAATACAGGAGAAGGATTCTCGCTTTCTGCCATATGCTGACTGCACATTTTGAATTTTATAGAAGATCTCAAGTACCCAGTTTTTCCGAAGTGACAGTTAAGACACAAGAGAAAAGGGATGAAATTCAGTTGGAAAGTTTAGGTTGAATGTTCCAGCAAGCGATATCTATTAGCCTGCAGAATCGTTTCCCAAGGTATATGGTAGAGGCCCGGTCACTTGGGACACTTAAAACTACACTGGGCAGGACACTTCAAAATGTTCTGGGGTGGGGGACTAACGGTCTTTCTTATCTCTTTTATCCTCTTCCCTATTTCAGTTCAAAGACAGAGTGTGGACTCCTTAGTTATCTGCACATGTATTTTCACTGTTCAATACATGTACCTTTAAAATAAAAAAATAAAATAAAAAGGAGTGGTCTTGGTTAGGAATGCAACCTGAGTGCGTTAGAACAAAATGTGTAATGTTTTAAAATTCCACAACCTGACTGAACTATATGTGGGTGTTTGGAATTTTTTTCCTCTTTTGCTGGGGAGAGAGGAGGGGTGTTTTTAAACTTCTTTGTGCCAGAATTTCTAAATGTGAAGGTTCAGCTCCAGGTTAATTTTTATGGCCAAGTAGTCAACCATAAAAAATGCATCTCTTTGGTTTTTCAGAGATGCTTTGCATCAGCTAGTACCCATTAAGATCAGTGGGAATTCCAGAGTACAGTGCCCCTGAAAAATATGGAAGTAATGATACTGTTTTCACTAGAAATGCTGAAGAGAGCAATGCCATGAGAATTGAATGAGAACCATCACTTAGAGTTCTTGACATGAGCTGCTTTCTCTTCTGCATCAGACCACCCACTGACTGCACCATTATCCATATGTATTTTCTTTTTAGATTAAACGCTGTTGTTTGAGACCCTTTTGTGACCATACTAATTTTTTTATTCTTAATACAGTTGGATTTTGTGTTCGTTTAGGGGGAAATAGTCCTGTTGGTATTGCTAAAGAACATCATATAACTACAGATGCTCAATTCAAAGTAGTCCCTCTAATATGGTGTGTGTTTGGGTTTTTTTGGTTTGTTTTTTTTAACTAAGCCTTTTAAATATTTTTTTCATTCATTGCATTTCTGCAGGGCTGGTTCTACAAGTAAACACTGAATTTCCTTTGTCTCAGAACAATAATCTAAAAATAAAATGTCATTAATATGGATCTGCCCTCACTGAGGCCCCAGTTCATCAACCAGATGCATGACCAGGGCAAGGGGATTCAGCTCCAGGATTGTGACCAACTCTGTGCATTTGGTTGCTTTCAGTCACTGCTGAATTCTTAAACACGTTGAGCACCTTAATCTTGTGGTGGGTTGATTTCTGGCATTACAGGACTCCCTGGGTCCAAGAAAAATAGACTTTCTACAGAGATGTTATAGAATATAATTCTGTTCTCTGAGCTTTCTTTACTAAGCAAGTAGATATACAGGGCATGACCACATGGATAGTCGTCATAAACAGCTGCTAACATGGTACTGGCTAAATCTCTTGCCTCACTGCCAATACAGATTCAGAAGCTCCCTCAATGTATTTTAGCCTAGTGCCCTAGATTAGTGAGAGCAAAAATGAAAGACATGGAAGTCACTTGGGTGACAAGAACAGGCTATATCTCAGATCCTGTGATTTCATTTTGCAGAGTTGGCTTTCATATAACAAGCCTGGAGTTCCCGAAAATCCTCTCCTGATTGTATGATGACTGCCTGAGATACCCTTTAGCACGATAAATTGAAAGCATATATAATGTGGAGCTTAACTGGGCCTACTCATTGGCAGGTTGAGAGAGTCAAAAGACTGAATGGGCAAAGGAAACTGAAATATTCTCTCCTCTATCCAGGTCAAGGTTTGAGGCACATTGACTGGTGGGAAGCATCCAATGGCACTGCCTCTGCTGTAAATAAACAGGGGGCTTCAGTCTCAGTGGCTGTCAGAATGGCACCCCTACTATTAAGTAAATTGAAGAAGAGGGAACCCTTCTGTCCATCCTTTTGTCCAGTAATAAATGAAAGGTCCCAAGGTTTTTCGCTCTTGTCTTGGCCAACATTTCCTTTGGAGTTAAGACAAGATAAAGTCCAAGACTCTGTCCAATCTAGCACGGTTAGGATCAGGTTGCTTTGAAACATGCTTTTAATATGAAAATTCTATTTTAAACCTTATTCTGTTATAGAAATGCCAGAAGAAGAAATGAAATGGGTTCCGCAATGGCTGAGGCAGAAGTCTGTCAATGGCAGCCAAACCAGTGCTAGCATATAATTTTTTCAGCCAGGGAAGGATAGTGCTGTTCATTGCTACCAAGCTACAGCAATAATTCTCAGGTTCTCTCTCTGTGTTGCTGATGCACAGAACGTGATTTACAAGAGTTTAAAATGTTGGGCCTCATCCAGGGGTAAATTATTTTAGGCTGACGTCTCTCAATATGTGGTGTCCAATGAGCTTTCTATGTTACCAATCACTTGGCCTTTGGCAATACAGTGCTCTTTAAGGATCTGCACTCTGAGGCTGAGGATTGAGGTACAAAGCAAAATCACTCTGGCATGCAAACTAAGTATCCTATCCTACAAGTGATTGTGTGGGTGGAACTCTGCCTGAACTGAGTCAGTTTCAGGATCAGATTGTCTATATTTATTATTCTGTAATAGGAAAACTTGCCCTAGTGCTGGGGTCCACACAGAACTCAGTGCATCCCTTAAGCGTAGGTTAATGGCTCATGTGGACCTTGTGTGGACTCTCTTCCATGGGGTAAATTGCACCTAATACTGTGCATCTTTGTTTTGCCCCCCTATCCAAAGCACCTAAGAACAGCATGGCATAGCATTCTGTGCTTTATTTTGTTTCTCAACAAGTAGCTTGAGACAATTAACTGGAACCTGGACATTGTGTGTCATGTGAGTGTTTGTTCTAAATCATCGTTTTCTTTTTGGATAGGACACAAGTAGATCCCCTGAAAAGGAAGTCACAGATCCCAGTGATGAGGATGAGAAGAAACCCAACAAATCCCAGCAGCTGAAAAAAGTTTTTAAAGAGTACGGCGCTGTAGGAGTTTCATTCCACATTGGAATTTCATTAATGTCTTTGGGAATATTCTACCTGGCTGTTTCAAGGTGCGGGTTTTCTTGCAGATTCTCTGGCCTTGGGTAATCCTGTGTTTTAAAATAAGAAATATCAAGTAGGCAGGGATTTTTGAGGCAATACTTAACTCTGGAGACTAGTCGGGGCCCAATGTTGAGACACAACAGCAGACAGCTCTATGTGCAGAAGTCTCATGGCATCCAACTGGAGATCCATGTACGGAGCAGCTGCAGATTTAGGACCAGTCTGTATTGAGACAAGCAAGAATAAAGATGAGGTTTTGCATTTAAAATGTACCTTGCTCTGCACCTGGGGGCATGGAGGATAGGGAGTGTGTCAGTGCAGTCATCCAGAAGGCAGTTTATGTTCGTGTTCTGGGGACGTGCTGTTTGAATGAAACCCTGGCTTGAGCTGTGGAGATCCGAGAGCCACCGCCGTGTGCTGGAGCTGAAGATTGTTGTGTTTTAATTCAGTATAAATCAAATAAAAACAGAACTGTATCCAAAACAAGGTGATTACCCTCAGGGGCAGATTTCCAATTAGGCACAGTAGGCATTTGCCTAGGGGTGCCTAAAAATTAAGAGGGTTAAAAGGTTTGTTTTTTTTTTTTTTATGGAAAACACAAAGGTCACCTGTAGGCAGGGGGCATGCTGAAGATGATGTCCCTGGGGATATGTAAGGTGTAAATCCGGCCCTGATTACTCTGGAGATCTACTCGGGGACTTGCATGCAAGGAAGGAGAGCAAAAGAATAATGTAGGCTGGTAGGTTCCTTGAAAGGCACCAGTTAGAATTTTGCCTATAACTGCAGAAGGATTAAAACAAATACAGGACTGGATTAAAAAAATAAACAGAAGGGGGACAACCAGGGAGGAGAGAGAGAGAAAGAGAAGTTTGTACATGGCTTTTGGTGGGATCATGTCCTATTTTTAGAAATGTATATAATTATTTACAGGAACAGAGCACATGGTGGCAGCAAAGATCCCTCATGCACTGCACAAACATAACTCCCCTGTTACAAAACAATTCATGTACCTTTACATGTAGGCACAGCAGAATTTGATCTTTTTTGTAAGTTTGACAATTAATATTGAATTTTATTTTTAAGAATTTTTTTATTTGTAACTATTTATTTTTTAATTTTCACATTTTTGTAGGAAATAAAGGGGGGAGGGTTAGGGTATCCCTGACAGTAAGGCTGCAGGGGGCTCTCTGTGTGGCTGAGAGGCCTGAGACAAGAGGGTGCAAGGAGCGGCTGTGGTCCTGGCTTGGCAGAGCAGAGACCTTTGGCCAGAGCCATGAGGAGGAGAAGGAGCCCACAGCTAGGGGGATGCCACCCAGCTGCTGAACGGGCTCCTGCTCAGAGATGACTCCTGGCCAGGGAGTGAGTCACCAGGACTGCAGAGGGTTCTCTGCATGGCTGTGAGGCCAGTGACACCAGATTCCTGTAGGTGCTAGGTGCATTTGCCAACTGTTGATGGATTTTTGTTTGTTTGTTTGTTTGAGTTCTGTGTCAGGTGAAATTGATGCTTACCACTGACTAAGGAAGTAAATCAAATCCTATTAAGCCTTATTTATGGCCAAGTGCGAGAAGTGCAGTGGGGAAAAATGGACCATTCCAATGTCATTTAGGAAATACTCCAGAATGTAGAGCCTATTCTAGACAACTGAAAATAGTTGTGGCTTCCTTGTTTGCAATGTATATGTGACTGATCGATGGCAGGAGTTGAGACAAGTCCCTCTTTCTTTCCTTTGGTCTGTTTTTACAGAAGTTGTTTAGCATTCAAACAGCCTTTTTACTTATCTATTAGCGAACTTTCAGCATTATGTATGGGTGTATTGTTGTCTTACTCTAGGTCAGATTTACTGATGGTCTGTTTCATTTTGCATGTTGGTTAAACTTTAAATCTTGTAAAGATTATTTACAAACTTGCAATTTTTTTAATTCAGAAGTTAGAATAATAGAACAGGGATGTTACCTAGAGAGGTTGTGGAATCCTTGTCATTGGAGGCTTTTAAGAACAGGTTAGACAAACACCTGTCGGGGTGGTCTAGGTGACCTCTTGAGATCCCTTCCAGCCCTACATTTTTTTTCCCTCTCTCTTTTTTTTTTTTAACCATAAGGGACATATCTGACTACTGGGCTGACGCTGCAGCTATACAATTGTGAAAGCAGAGAAAAGGGGGATGAATGAGAAGGTATTTGGTTTTATAGGGACACCAACCTGGGAGGGGAAAAATATCACACTTCAGTCTGAAAAGTTGTTTCCTACTCTTGTAACAGGCATCATCTGAAGTTGTCAAAAATATCACACTGTGCATTTGACAGCACTTTGTGTTTTGTCAGTTTCTGTATGTTGTGTGGGCCTTTCACACAGCAATAGGAGAGGAGAAAAATTAAACTTGTAAAACCACAAAAATTGGTGAGGAGGTATGGGAGGGCTCAGAGACAAATGTAATACCTCAAATTACAATTTATAATTGATTAGATTTCTAGTTGATGGTGCCTCTTTAAGTCAATCACAGTTTAGTGTCTTTGTTGGAATTTTAATTTCTTAATGCATCTGTGCTTTAGGCTTTTGATTTACATAGAAAAAGGGAAATGTCAAACAGCATGGGCCTCTGGAATCTTCAGAAAGATTGCAATCTAATCTCAGTGAGAGCAGTATAAACCTAGAGTGGCTCCATTTTAGAAAACTCATCCATTGTGTTAGATCAGAATCTGGCACACTGTTTAACTGCTTTTTAAGTAATGACATAAACATTAACACTGTTCTGCTAATAACCAAGGTAGGTGTTCGGTTAGGGAACAGGAGCATCAGTACACAGATTATCCGAAGTAAACAAAAGATCTCTTTACTAATATAAGGGAACTGGTACAACTTTTTGATATGTATATATTTTTTTCTTACAATAAATTCTTTTTTCCTTTTTTCCCTCCCCAGTGGTGTGGACATGACTGCAGTTCTCCTAAAACTTGGATTCAATGAAGCATTGGTGCAATCCAAAGTGGCTGCTGGTACAAGCACATTTGTGTTGGCCTATGCTATTCACAAAGTGTTTGCTCCAGTCCGAATCAGCATTACCTTAGTTTCTGTGCCATTCCTTGTCCGATATTTCCGTAAGATTGGTTTCTTCAAACCTCCTGCCTCAAACCCATGATGAAATCTTTTTTTTTTTTTTTTTTTTAAAAAGTCATGTTCATATAGCTTTTAAAAGTGCCGGGCAACTGCAGTTGCCCTATTTGGACTCATGTTAATACTGATCTCATCTCACATTTTTGCTTTCAGGAAAATGTTAACCCCTTCCCTTCCCTTCCCTGTTAAAATGGTATCTGAAAACTCCTGCCCGTGATAACATAAGCACTTACCTACCAATGAGGAAACTGTTTAGAACATACATCTTAGTCTCTTTACAACTCAGCCATTTGGGCCTTACTTTTTTCTTGGTGAAACACACTTGCTACAGTGCAGCACTAGTTCATAATAGTGTATTTCAGGAACTAAACTAAGATTGAATTCCCATTTAATTATTCTCTGAAGCATACTCTGTCCTATCATGTGAATGCCTCTTTTGATACACAAACTCAGTGCTTAGTATTTATCCATTGCCCCTTTAAAATAATTTCTTGCTCTGAAAAGGCACTCTGGCCATGCTGTACTTCCATACTTCTAAGTTGTATGGATGCTGAGCATCACTTAAAAGCTCACTCTCCTGGTTGACTAGCAGCTGGCCCTACTGGAATCTTATTTATACTAGAGTGCTGTAGACTATTTGGGTGAAATCCTGATTCCCCTGAAATCAATGGAAGTTCTGTTACTGACTTCAAGGGGACCACAATTTCAGTCTGTGGGCATGATCCAAAGCCCATTGAAGTCAGTGGCAAGGCTCTCATAGGCTTCAATGTGGTGGATCAGGCCCTGTATTAGCAGACATATCTACAACTGAAAACAAGCTGTAGCAGTTTCTCAGCCCCTGCAGAAGAAGCTCATATACATTCCTGAAGTCCATATGCTATAATTCTGCAGACTGTTGAATGCACTAGCTAGTCACTTGATTCTTATATTAAACTAACATGACTTAATATGGGAGTGATCTATACTTTTAAGACTCTTTATTGCATAGCTCACATCAGATACCATTTTAAAGTGCTATTTCCTTTGATGTTTGAGTTGTCAATTTGGCTTGCTGTTCACAACTCAATATGGCATGTTTCTACAAACTGCTGCAATGTCTATAATTCATCAGGTCAAGAAATCTGCAGGTCTGAGCTACCTACTATGGAGTGCATATTAACTATTTTAATGTGAACAGAAAAAAAAAGCTTAGTTCTGATCTCTGCAGTAAATTCCAAAAACTTACCCATGTGCTACATTGCTCTTGCACTGCAGAAGTATTACCGTGAAGTCACAATAAGGGTATGTCTACACTGTGGATCGATGCTGTGGCGATTGATCCACTGGGGGTCGATTTAGCAGGTCTAGTAAAGGCCTGCTAAATCAACCACAGATTGCTCTCCCATTGACTCCGATACGCCTCCAGAATGAGAAGCATAAGGTAAGTGGATGGGAGAAACTCTACGCCCAGTGCAGTGTAGGCACTGCAGTAAGTCGACCTAAGCAACAGCAACTCCAGCTATGTTATTCACATAGCTGGAGTTGCGTAACTTAGGTCGACTTAATCCTGTAGTGTAGACTAGTGGTTTTCAAACTTTTTGTCTGGGGACCCTGTTGAAGAAAATGATTGATGCCCGCGACCCAGCAGAGCTGGGGATAAGGGGGTTGGGGTGTGGGAGGGGCTCAGGGCTGGGGCAGAGGGTTGCAGTGAGGGCTGCTGGGTGGGGCTGGGAATGAGAGGTTCAGGATGTGGGAGGGGGCTCTGGGTTGAGGATGAGGGGTTTGGGGTGCAGGAAGGGGTTCTGGATTTGGGGGGGGCTCAAAGCTGGGGCAGGAGATTGGGGTGTGGGCTTACCTCAGGCGACTCTCAGTCAGCAGTGCAGCTGGGATGCAGAGGCAGGCTTCCCGCCTATCCTGGCACCACAGACCATGCTGTGCCTCAGAAGCGGCCAGCAGCAGGTCTGGCTCCTAGACAGAGGTGCGCAAGCAGCTCCGTGTGGCTCTTGCCCGCAAGCACCAACCCCCCTCCCCAGCTCCTATTGGCCAGTTTCCAGTCAATGGGATTGCGGAGCCGGTGCTCAGTGCAGGGACGGTGTGCAGAGCCCTGTGGCCCCCCTGCCTAGAAGTCGGACGTGCTGCTGGCTGGTTTGGGGGCACAACGCAGTGTCAGAATAGGTAGTCACTGGCCTGCCTTAGCTGGGCAGCATTGACGATGGGACTTGTAATGTCCCTGGGTGCTGAGCAAGGTGACCCAGAGCCTTACATGCTGCAACTCAGTACTGGGTCGCTACCTGAACTTTGAAAAACACTGGTGTCAACTTGCCCTAAGTCAGATTGACCTAAATGAGCACTTGGTAGTTTTAGGCCCAAGATTTAGAAATATATATTAATTATGAAATTAAATAGAAATATTTTCAGTAGCTTTATCTGGATTTTCCTCTGCAGTGTTGGTGAAACAAACACTGCAGCATAATGCAAGTGAAATGGACTATAAACAGACTAGTTCACCTACATCCTCCAAGCTGAGGAAAGTGCAAAGAACTAAGGATGTGTCAATGATGATTCAATTCTAACTTATTTATCCTTTTAAATAATCAGTTGAAAAATACTTCTTAAATATTTTATCACTGTGACAATGTTCCTATCCTAAAGTGGAATTTAGTATGTACATATAGCCATGCAATACAGAGTGCCCAAGACTGGGTCCAAAATAAGCTATTGTGTACACCTCAAGGGATTTTGATGACTTAAGGCTAGATTGGCAGCTTGCAAACTGCCCTGAGTAAGGGGCAGCATATAACTGCACTACCCCAGGAGCAGGGGCCATATTGTGACTAAGAGTTGCAGTGTGGTCCCTGCTTCCTCTTTGCTCCATGGGAGATGTAAGATGCTAGCCTTCTTTCTAATGTAGCTTAAATCACCTTCTGCACCTGTTCTGCTGCTCTGGCTGACTCACTGCCTGGCCAGGAGAGAGAATTAGCTGCTCCTAGGTGGCTGCATTCCCTCTTGCATTGTGACCCATGATGCAGGTAGTTTGTGCAGAGACAAAATGGGGTGCCTCACATCCCTGCAATGGTGTGTAAGCTAGTTTGTGATCAACTTATCAAGCAGAGTTTACGTTTCATTTTAGTTTAATTGCTGGAATGTTTTGAGTTTTTCATTGAAATTGCCTTCTGGTGATGCTACTGAATAATGGACTTTCTGGATAAAATTGAAATATTTTTAAAGTAACCTTTGAAGGTGGTGGTGGTGGTTGCATTAACTCCTCACAACAGTAACTTCCCTAGTCTCCTGTGATTTGCTAGCCGCTAAAACATTGCGGGGCCTTTTAAAAAAAATAATTCCGTTTGACCTTGAGTAGAATGTCTAAATTTCCTTAAAGGAAACATTTTTGGTTTTATTCCCTTTCCCATAATTATTTATAATAGAGCCATTTTCTCTGATGGGCTCCCTATTGCTTTATAGAGAGTGCAATAGTACTCAAGATCAGAGAAGTCACTTTGATACTAAAGATATAGCAAGATACAAAAAATCCTACTTTTTAAAATATTCAAATTGTCATATCACTTTATTCTTTCATTTCTAAGTAAAATGTGTATTTTTCTATTATCACTATTAGAAAAACAAATAGCATTCCAGTCCTTCTATCTGTTACTTCCTGTAATGCAGTCATGATTTTATGGTTTCTGGAAACAATATTCACTTTAAAAATCACCAGCGTGCCAAGTTAATTTAATTTGTAATTAAACTGCACTTGTCCCCTTTAAGTGAGATTGAGAGACTATTTTTTTACCTCTGAATTAGACAAATCTGGTTGTAAAAACTGTCATTTGTGACCTTTGTTTAGATGAACATTTTTGCAATATATTTTAAATCAAAAATATATTTTGAATTTCTGAATCCTCCTGTGTAAGCTTAGAAATGTGAAAACAGAATTAGTTTGTGAAATAGTAGCAAAGGCCTTATAGAATTGGCAACACTGGTAGAAAATACAATAAAATATTTTTTTCCCTTCTAGTTGTTTATTTTCCAGTAAGAAATCTCTTAGGCTTGGATGTATTGCAGTTCTATAACCTAAGTCATATGTATACAATTGCAAAAATGGCAGTACTCCAAAACACCAAAGGAATGTACAGTGGCAAATTATTGCATGTGAAACAGCAGCACTTAAGTAGAGTTGCATCTTGTAAAAGTGAAGACTGACAGTCAGGTGTGGACCAGTGACTGCAGATACCCCCTGAAATTGAACACAGGGTCCAGTGTATACTGACAGCAGGATCCAATCCTGTGGTAACATGACTTTTTTTCCCAATTTTCCTATAATACTCTATTTCCATTTTGCCCATCACATGTAATTTACTCCTGGGGGAATTCTGCACCACAGCAATACAGAATTTTGCAGAAATTAGAATTGTGTGCAGAATTTCCTTTCCCCCACAGAAATTGGCTGCAGTGCTGGTAGCTACCACTGGACCTGGCAGAGCCCAGCTTGCACATGGAAGACACTGCTGGGAGGGAGGGAGGGAGACAGAGGGTTTGTGGCAGCTACTATTCCCTGGGAAGGAGACAGAAGAGTGCAGAAAACTATGCAAGCCTGGGACCCATAATCAGGCTGTTTCTCCTCTTGGCTCTGAGAGGGCAGTGGGGGGCCAAAGCTGGGCTCAGAAGGGTAAGAGGGTGGGTATGTGGGCTGGGGCAAGTATAGGCATGTCCCAGCAGTACACTTAAACAAGATCCCTGATTCATAATGAATTCCACAGGCTCCCTATGGGTTCTTCTGTATGTACTGACACATTAAAACTAGACTGTCTTGCTAACAAGGTAAGAATACACTTTTATTCCTGTCTGTGAATGCAGTCTGAGACACTTCACTGGAAACTTAACAGGAGAGATGACTGCAAGCCAAAATATTAATTTTTAATGGGTAGCAGGTTTAAAACATAAAAGGGAGTTCTTCACTCAGTGCACAGTCCACCTGTGGAACTCCTTGCCTGAGGTTGTGAAGGCTATGATTATAACAGGGTTTAAAAGAGAACTGGATAAATTCATGGCGGTTAAGTCTATTAGCCGGGATGGGTAAGGAATAGCATCCTTAGCCTGTTTGTCAGAGGGTGGAGATGGATGGCAAGAGAGAGATCACTTGATCATTACCTGTTAGGTTCACTCTCCCTCTGGGACACCTAGCATTGGCCACTGTTGGTAGACAGGATACTGGGCTGGATGGACCTTTGGTCTGACCCAGTATGGCCTCTTATGTTATTAGCCCCCTTCTAACTGTAGAAGTCATTCAGGTGCCTCAGTGCTCACCTTTACATGTGGAAGTCTTGTTTACTGTATCCACAGTAGTAGAAAAAGAAGCTCAAAGTGCTTCAGCTCACTACCTTAATTAATTCAATACAGAAACTTTAGACCAACATAATCATAGACCCTTAAACAGGCTGCTGCTAGAACCTCTTTCCACCCCAGGTTTAGGATTTTCCTTGCAGCATGACTATATGCAAAGGAAAATTAACATGAGTTTATTACCTCTAGATTAAGGATACCAAACTTTGTGAAGTTTGACATTTCAGCCCTAACCACCTTCCTTGTATTCACATTTTTAAACCCTGCCATTTTAGGCTGACACATACCCCTTTGTTGCTGTTCCCTATGCTGGTTAGGGCAGAGGTTTTAGTAACTTGTGTTTAAAACACAGGTGGGTCCTTAATCTGTGTATGGGCCTGTTTACACAAATCATTTAAATTGATGCAGACCCATGTGGACAGTTACAGTAGTATAAGGGTTACTTTAACTAGTACAAATGCTTCCATGGTAGTTATAGGAAGCTAGTTTTGTTTTAAAAGAATTCTCATTAGCCTATTCCCACACCTCATTCTTTACCTCAAAACTGGATTTACAGCAGTTATACTAATATAATTTAGCAGATCCTTGTGCTAAACAATAAAGATTTGAAGTGATTGCTGATGACCCTCCATGAAACTGTACAGTAAAGTCATTAGGCTCTACAAAGTATACTAACATCTTTAAGATCAGACTCTTATGTTTCATAAAATAGGAAGTGTCTACATTTTAATTTGATACGTTTTGCTATATTTTTCTAGTTTAAGATCATCTAATAAGTCCAGCAGTATGTGCAGTAAAGTAAACATTACCACCCTATCAAAATGTAATAAGTCTTTATTTAACAAATTTCAAGTGCCTCACCCCTCCACACAACAGCAGACCAAAGAGTACACAGAAGCAAGAGATGCACACAATTATTAGGACACATTTATGAAGAGGCACATTCATCTTTTTCCACTCGTCTTCAGATCACTGCACATTTGTGATAACCTTAGCAGCCCAATAAGTTAGAATGCAGGTAACACAAGGATTTATTATTGCACTATTTGACCATGACAGATATCCAGAACCACAACTGTCTCTTGCTATGAGGAAGTAGGAGCCAAAAATTAAGACTGATCACATTATAGGGCCTTTGGCAAGAACACAACATTTAACTTTGCCTCATCTCAATGTATATGACCCATATGCAAACTGGACTTCAAGTACGTTGGCTAATATTCTATCAACTTCTTTAAGTACACTTCTTGTCAAACTGCTCTCAATACATATATATAAAAAAACATTTTCTCCATTACAATAAGAGAGTTTAAAATGGTGAATAGCTCACACAACTGAATCATTCCCCAGTCTGTTTTAATTAGCAGGTCTTTTATTAAAGTCTCATTGCAAGCAACCTTTCCCGGCTGCATTAAAGTAGTCATGGTTACAGGGCTCTCCTTTTGCTTATAGTTCATTTGAGATTGTTTATAGCATGAAACAGACACCTTGCTAAGATGGCGTTCTGTTACTGGTAGCAGCCTCACTCTTCCGGCTGCTTGGTTGTTTTGTAGAGTTTGTGGTAATCCATGGGTGTGCAAGCACGTCTTTCAGTGGCAGCCTCTGGTATGGATTATGCTTCAGGAGCTTTACAATTAAGTCCTTAGCTCCCTCTGTTACAAAAGGAGGAAATCTGAATTCCACCTAAAAACAAGCAATAAGTTACTATTCTAGTGGTAAATATAGAACTAACATTTTCAGGTGTTAGGAATTGTTTGTAGTTGTACAGGGAGTAAAGCAGAGAATACTGGGATGTAGATGGAGCCAAAGGAAAGTTTAGAAGAGCATTATCAGTCAGCCCATACACAAGATCTGACTGATTTTTTTTTTCCCCCAGCCTCGTCACATTTCAACTATACAGAAGCAAACCAGGTTACTCCTGAGAGAATTCTGCACCAAAAAAATTAAAAATTCTGTGCACAATATTTTAAAATTCTGCAAATGTTGAGAATCAAAACAACACTACATGATCACATCAGTTTCAATTATTTTGGAAATTGATTTCAAAATACCTGTGAGCAAGTATGTCTGTAACAATAGACACCATTTTCCCAGGAGTAGAGAGTTAAAGAAACCCCTATGACAACCCAATTCCTGTTTCTCTCCCCCATCCCACAGCCAGCCACCTCCCCCTGTCTGAGCCTTGCCAGGACCCGCCCCCAGCCCAGATACCCACACCTCCTCCTCACCAAATCCCAGCCCCCACACCCACCCTCTTACACCCCAGAGCCCAACTGTGGCCCCCCAGCCCAGAAACTCCCCACCCCTCAGAGCCCAGGGATCCAGCAGGAAAAACAGCCTGATGGTGGGACCCAGGCTTGTGTGGAGTTTCTTGCACACCACTGTCTCCTTCCCTCAGAGCATATGGGGAACTGCAGCTGAAGGGAACCCTCTAGCTCCCTCCCCCTCCTCCCAGCAGTGTCTTCTATGCGCAAGCTGGGCTCTGTCAGGTCCAGCAGGACTGCAGCCAATTTCTGTGGGGGAAAGGAAATTCTGCACACACATTAATTTCTGCAAAATTCTGTATTGCGCAGTGGCATAGAATTCCCCCAGGAGTAAAACCAGGAATCCCCAAAATGTGGTACATAAGCTTCATATTCCATCCATTCACTTCACAACGATTTTTAAGAAGGTGGTACGTGAACCAATTCATTGTGAGACCGTGAGTTAGAAATGTTGTTGTACTCATGATTACTAAAGCAACCTTTCATATGCGAAGCAAATAAAAGCCTTCGTACAGCCTGAAACACTGACCAAGTTACAAATTCGACACAACGCTTCAAAGAAACTAGGGTAACTAAATACCAATGGCACCTTAAATGCCAGAATTCAACTATTCAATTGCTCATCATTTCTAGTAGCTGAAATGGAAAAAGGATAAGAGAAGCCTCGGGAGGAGAAAAATGGGAATTACTATAGGGAAAAGAGAGGGGAAGTCCCAGCGTGGGAGAAGAAAGAGAATCAAAGGGCAGAAAGTAGTGGTCCTAAAGGTAACTATTTTCCATCAGAGGGAGGATGAATGTAGCAACAGTGTATTAACAAAAAGTTACAGATAACTGAATGTTATTTACTACACTGATTTTTATGCACAACTCCCACTGACAGTAAAAATTTTGCTGTGGCTTGTACGTTAATTTACACTGGGTTACAGCCCATATTAAGAGAAGAATCCAACCTTCTCTAAAGGCTGATTTAGATAAAATCAGGGTAATTCCTGATGGATCACAGCTGCTAGGCTGCTCTTTGATTAGCCATGGGAAACCACAGGAAATCGAGGCCCCATTTTCCTTCCTTTAAGTAGTTGAGAAAATAACATTTCAGTTTTATCACCCCATATCTATTTAATATCACTGAATAGGTGACTTAGGAGGAAGAAGTGAAAATGACCCAATACTTGCCTTTGAAATACTTCTGTAAGTTTCCTGGTATGTCTCTGCCTCAAAAGGAGGTTTCCCTACTAGAAATTCATAGCACAGAACCCCCAGGCTCCAGAGATCCACCTTTTCATCATGTGTTCTCCCTTCAATCATTTCAGGAGGCAAGTAGTCAAGTGTACCACAAAGAGTTGTCCTCCTAAAACACATACAAATGGTTTCATACAGAAACTGTAGTTTGGGCTTTATGCAGCAGTATTC